GATTGGCTTTGACAAAATCTTTTAGCTCCTGTTTATCCTGAAATATTTTGATTACACCATCATATTTGATAGACAGTTTTGCTGGATAGATGATTCTTGGTTGGCAGTTTTTTTCTTTTAGGGTTTTATCTGTCTCCCCATTGCCTTCTTGCCTGGATGGTTTCTGCTGAGAAGTCAGAGCTTAATCTGATTTTCATGCCTTTGTAGGTAACACTTCTCTTTTCCCTGGGTGCTTTTGCTGGATAGATGATTCTTGGTTGGCAGTTTTGTTTTTTCTTTCTTTTAGGGTTTTATAAATGTCTCCCCATTGCCTTCTTGCCTGCATGGTTTCTGCTGAGAAGTCAGAGCTTAATCTGATTTTCTTGCCTTTGTAGGTAACACTTCTCTTTTCCTTGGGTGCTTTTGGACACTCTCCTTGTCTGATTTTGGAGAGCTTGATTATGATATGTCTTGGTGATTTTCTTTTGAGCTCTACACTTTCTGGCATTCATTCAGCTTCTTGAATGTATATCTTTTCATTCTTCAAGATGTTAGGGAAATTTTCTTCCAATAGTCCCTCAACTATCTACAATGTGAACTTCTGTAATTCTTCCTGTTCCAGGATGCCAATAATTTTTAAGTTATCCCTCTTCATGTTATACAGCATGAATCTTTGGCCCTCTTCAGATTTTTTAAACCTTTTTTTCTGTTTGCTTTTCTATCTTAGCAGTATTGAGAGATTTGTCTTCATGTGCACTTCTTCTGGCTTCCATCTCTTCAATTCTACTCTTTTGCCCTTTCAGCTTATTGTTCATTTCAGATATTTTATTATTAATTACGTGGACCTCTTTTTGCAGGTTTTAAATTGATTCCAATGCTGTATCTATCTTGTCTGATTGCTACTGTAGCACTTTCCTGTCTTCTTCCTTATTTTATTCCACCCCTTTTCAGAGCATTTGTATTTGTTTCCATATCATTATTCTGAATTCCTTCTCAGGCAGATCCAAAACCTGCTCTTCTTATATTGAAAATACTGTGTCTGTCTCCATCTCATTTGGCTCAGTTACTCTTCTATTTTGAGATATGTTTTGATATCTTTTGTTGTGTTTTCCTGGACATTTTCAGTAGTTAGGAGGATTTTTAATACTTAAATGGATATATGTTGCTGTATTGTTAAGCTTACTGTGTGTCTCTTGATGGATATGATGTGGAGATAGGCTTCCCTTTTTGCATGTAATGTCTAGCAACTGGTATTGGTCCTGTTGCAATGGTGAGATATTATTGGGTATGATTGTAGTTTGGCTATATGGTCACGATTGCTGTCTCTTCTTGAGTAACGTAAGGAGAAAAAGCTCCGACCCCTATGAAAAAAGTGCAATGACAAGTACCAACAACAGAGTTGATATAAAAGCTGAGACAAAAACCACCACTCCGAAACAAATATAAAACCATAGCTGACCACATCCAGATTTCCAGAGATGGGAAATTCCCACATGAAAGGACAAGCAGACCAACCTGGAGTGGCTAGAAGAACAGAAGATACTTCTTGAAAGAAAGACCTACAGGAAAAATA